CTGTGCCAATGTGCCACCATTAAACCTAGCAGAACTGTGCCAATGTGCCACCATTAAACCCAGCAGAGCTGTGCCAATGTCTACCATTAAACCCAGCAGAACTGTGCCAATGTGCCACCATTAAACCCAGCAGAGCTGTGCCAATGTGCCACCATTAAACCCAGCAATGTGTCACCATTAAACCACAAAGTGTCAGCAGTCCCAGCAGTGCCTGTCTCCAGTCCTGCCCCTTTCGAGTCCCTCTCCTGCTTCTGATGTAGTCCTGACCAGGCCCTGTTCTGCCCCCATTCCGTTTAGCCCATTCCTGTTCTTGTCTTGTCCCTGATCCTCCACCTCACCTTGTGTGTGTTCCTGTCCATACCCAGACCCTACCACTACCTTCACACCTACTCTCACCCTTTTCTTTATCCTGTCACTGCCCGTCCCTCTCTTTTCCATCTCCTGCCCATCTCTCCTGCCCCGTCCCTATCACTCGTCCTGCCCCTACCCCTACACTTTTCCCTATGGCCCGCCCCTCTTCCTCTTTCCTTCCCTTCCCTATCCCTGTGCTGTCCTTGCTCCAGGCTGACAACAGAATCCCCTGGCAGCCCACCACAAAGTTGAAGGGAAATTGTAAGCCAGGAGAACAGAAGTGTGATGAATGAGAGGGCAGGACAGAGAGGGCAGAAGAGAAGAAAGGATACAGAGGAGCAGAGCCAATGGGGCAGGGGAAAGCAGGAGATGGCAGGGGAGAATGGACAAGAGGGAAGAGCAGAAAGGCAGTGAAAATGGGATTTCTTGAAAAGAAGTGTTTACAGCTTTATTACAAGACAGGATGCCTCACAATAAGATGGATGGCTTTCCAATTCCTGAATTCCTGCTCTGAGGGAGCTCCAAATATTTTGGAAAAACAGGTCATCGCAAACTGTAAGAGCCTTAAATGACCCTGGAACAGAGGCCTCCTTAACATATGGGAACCCCAAGAAACATGAAGGACATCTGGTAATTATTATAGGGTTGGGAGGGAAACAAACTGAAGCTGTACAAACACAAATAGAAATGAGAATAGGAAACCTCCCACAACGACTGCATCCTGTGATGACTGTCCCCACCCCAAAATATATCACAGGGATGGGCATTCTAAAATGACTAACACTGAATCTCCCCAGTGCTCAGCCCCAATTTGGAATAAGGAATTGCATTCGTGCTCCAACAATTTCAGTGGGAAAAGTAACAATGCCTGCTGTGCAGATTCCTGCTGCAACTGAAGTAGTGACAGTGAAACAGTACAGGACCTGGGGGGAGGGGGAGCATGAAGAGATATCAAGGACAATTAATGATTTATTGGGTGCAGGAGTTTTGAAGTCAACTACTACAGCTCGGAACAATCCAATATGGCCTGTCAAAAAGCGGTGGGCTATGGGAGGAATTAAACAAGCTCACCCCGCCTCTCACAGCGGCTGCAGCAGGAAGTGTTGCTTTAACAGAAAAAGCTCAGAACCATTCCAGAGCAGGGCACGCTGTAATTGATTTAGCTAATGCTAGCTTCTTCACGATCCCGACTGCAGAGGAACGCCTTCCCGTGGCAGAGGTGACAAGATCCTGTCTGTAGATGGCCTCAGGGACGGCTGCACAGCCCAACCATCTGCCACAGAACTGTGGCTGAACATCTGCATGACACCAAACTGCCTCCTCACGTGCAAACAGTTCATTACGTAGATGACGTCCTGACTCAGGGAAACCGAGGAAGGGGTGCAACAAATGCTGGAATTGGTTGTGGATCAGCTGAAACAGAAAGGCTGGGAAATTCATCCTAATGAAATTCAAACAGCGACATTTTTAGGAACTCAGAGGCATTTTGGGCATTGGGGAATACTACCCAAAACCTGACACAACATTCTAGACTTTGCAGTACCCTAAAATATGAATGAGGCACAGCAGTGTATTGGGCTGTTTGGTTTTTGGAGACAGCACATTCCATACCTAGGACAAATTTTAACCCCGTTTATATACAAAGTGACAAGGAAGAGTTGGAGAGGGAAACGAACAGCAGGTTGCCTTTGAATTAGCAACAAAGGCTCTTCAAAGGGCCTCAGACATAGGGCCCATGCAAAAAGCAGAAACAGAGTTAAACGTGTCTGCAAATGGGGCATGTGCCAATTGGAGCTTCTGGCAAAAACAGGGAAAGAAAAAGGTTCCCTTGGGTTTTGGAGGAAGAAAACTCACATCACGAGAGGAGTAATGGATGCAGATTATTAAGGATAAATCAAATTCTGTGCAGCAATGGTGAACAAGATTTAATTATTCAACCCATGACAGAACAATTACTGATATTGCCAGTTTTAAAAACAGTTGTGAGAAAAGGAGATCCACCTCAGATCACCACTGCTCTGGAGAAATATGTACGTAGTACATAATTTTATTTTGCAGATCCTGCACGACGGGATTTACCCGCCTACCACCACGGTCCATTTGGAAAAAGATACCATCTGTGTGCCTGGATGTGAAGAACGGCCTCACCTGAAATTATCCCCAGTGCCTGCTGTCAGAGCTTGTGACCTGAGTGCAGTGATGGCATTGCTAACGGCACGTTGCCACTGTGACCAAGGCACAGGTTGGATGAGCAGATTGATAACTTCAGGACAAGGTTGAACAACTTTGCTCTTTCTTGCTAACTGCCATGTGTGTGGAGGCCCAGGAGGATGGGAACACTGGACGTGGATGGCCTGTGCAACCCAAATGGTGGGACAGCAAAACGAGTGCAGCCCATGAGGGAACAGAGCTCTGGGCCAGGACAGCAATCCCTGCCAGATGCAGCAGTACAGAGAAATGATCAGAGAAACGGGGAAAAATACACAGAAATTGAAACATGTCCAGATTACTTCACGTGTCCCACACCTGTGGTGACTCAAAGACCACACCTGCCACGTCTCCCACAGCGAGGTGTGTCCATATCAGAATTAAGTTTTGATACGAGATTTACGACTTACGAATATTAAAGCCATCTTCACAGTTTGAAGGAAAGGTCTGAGCTGCTGGAGGCTCTGCTCAGCTACATTTCTGCCCGTCTCGAGTGCAGTTCGAGTGTAGATTTCATACACAGCAAGGTGTGAAGAAAAGCTCCCTCTCCAGTCCTAGAGATAAAGAAAGTTCAAGCAGTAAATATCAAGCTACAACAAAGCCCAAGCTTCTGATTTAAGGACATCCTCTGAAGCCTAATTTAAGGCAGTAAAATTCACCTTCTTGCCTCAGGTTAATATCTCCAAGCTATTTTCAAAGATCTTTTCGTTACCTCCCGATATGTTTGCATACAGCTAGTAGAACAAACAGGGCCAATAAAGAGACCCAAACACATACAGTGAAGGCATAAAGTCCAGCATGGCGAAGATCAGAAATGAGGCAGGGAAAGCCTGACAGATTGAGAGCGATTAAGTGTCTGAATAAAGAAAGGAACAGAAGGAACAGACATTGCTGGAATCTATCAGACGCCAATCTTCATTTGAAAAACATCCTGTACATGTAGAACAAAAAGCAACACAGGATCAACCCACAACTATTTATTCCACTATCTCAGTGATGATTGCTATTATACAAACTACGCATTTTTAATACTGCTGTTTAAAAGAAAAAACAACACAAATTCCTCCTCCAGCGTGTAACCAAATTCAAGTTCATTTATGAGTTTAGGTAGGAAAAAAGACTTCTGGTCTCGGTAACACAGCTACAAAAGCACTGTACAGGATACTCACAGATACAGCATAAACCAAAGCTGGCTCTTTGTAACAGCACACTTCCTTTGTCTATTCCCCTTCTGTTGATGTACATTACCACAGCTTTGATGACAGTAAGGTTTCCTGGGCCATCTGTCAGAGCTGCAGAGCTTCCACCTCCTTTAAGCGTCCGTCCACTCACAAGTACAACCAGCCTGGCTGAGTAAACTACGCTGCATGTGCTGAGACAAAATGGAACAGAGATCAGAAGAAAATAATTGCATCTTAGTAAAAATATCTGTGATTTCTAGTCCGAGCAAATTAATGTCACATACAAAAATTACTTCCAACGTAAAGTAACCACATTTCCAAAACAAATTCTACCCATAGAAGAAGATTACAGAATTATACTACAGCACATCTTAAAACATCAGTTCTGTGGCAGACAGAGTAAAGAGACTAGCAAGAAAAAGCACAGAAGGGCTTCTTCCTAAGGAATAATTGACTACAGAAGGTAGAGCTGTTAGCTGGGGTTTTTTAGTGTGAGTGAGCAGAAAAGAAAAAAGTAGGAACGTGACCTCAGGACAGTCTGAAGTAACATGGAAACAGGAAGAGCTGCCCAGGTGCTCTGAGCTGTTCAGACGACGTGACAGCCATTTTCTTGAATGCTGTTACATATGCAGAGACAAGCAAAAGAATGAAAATCAAGGCATTTGCCTTCATCTTAATGGCACTGTATAAGCCAGCTCTCTGCAGGACTACGGCACAGACAGTGCAAGACTACTAAGAACTGCACAGTAATTGCCAAGCCACGTTTTCAGAAGCCAGCGTGACAAAGTACTTCCCTTTTCCCATCCACAAAGAAATGCTGGCTTAGACACCAATCTCCAGTGGGATAAGAATACGGAGGTACTTCATGCTATTTTCTCAAACTGAAAGGTATCAAATGTCTACTTAAGGACAAAATAGAACCAGCAACAAAGAACATGGAAGGCACACTAACCTTGGCAGGCACTTCAGATCAAAGCACTCTAACAGCAATAACTGTAGCAGGCAGTAGCTTAATTCCGCAGGTGCCTAGCAGTCAACTTTGCTCACTCTCAGATCTTTCTGCTTGCTGTTGAATTAAGCCTTCTTTTTCTCTAAGGTATTTCTCACACTTTCCACAGAACTGCTTTCATGCTTTACAAAAAATAACACCTGGAGAAAAAAGACTCAGTAAAGCTCTCTGACAATACAGGGATGCAAACTTCCTGCCTGTCACCCAAACAGGCGCATCGCCCACCTTGAGGCTCTTGTGCTGGCACTGCACACACTGAGCACAGGGGAATCCTTCACAGCAATCAGCCGCTGAGTTACACACAGCCATTCTGGGAGAACCGGTTTGCTGCCTTTGTTGTTCACATGCATAGCACTACACCAAGTTAGCACAACCATCTACACCTTCTTTTCTCCACCACACAGTGGTGTAGCTTTCTGGCTAAAAATAAAAATACCCTGCAGTGCAAAGAGAATGTTCCCAGATAAAACAAGGGAAAACAATCCAACAAGCAACCTCCCTCCTTCCCCTCAGCCCACCATCCTTCCCCTCACAGAACAGACAGAACAAACCCACAGGAAAGGAAAAGACAGCAAATCCACTTCCTGAGCCAATTCCCAGTGTTGAGAACTTAATAAAGAAAAAAAAAATACATTCTCTGCCTGCATCACCACAAAAAGCTGCACGGTAAATGAAACGAGCAACTGAGGGTTACAGCCTCCAGCTGCACCTCCTAACCAAAGCAGCTGGGAGAAAAAGTAAAAGTCTGTTTGCTAGTCTGTTTTTTAGACTGGAGTCTCAGAAAGTTGTAGAGATACCCCAGATAACAAAACCCTCACACCCATTCTTTGCAACTGCAGACGCACAACCTGAGAGAGACCCTAAGAAACGTACAGCTAGATTAACTTCATTATGTTCTTTTCCTCCTGTGCTTTTCGTGCTAGTTCTTAAGAACATCCCCTTTTTGAATAGATCTTCAGAATCTGAACCATTCCTGAACTCAGCTGCATAGGCCAAGGTGAAAACGTAACTCAAAAATGCCCTACAACTTGCACAACGTTCTTCTTACAGCAGTTAAGGACAGCTGTCCTGACACCTCAGCATTCACAGCTTCAGGTTCATGAGAAAAATAATCACCGTTGAAAGTACAATTAGCAGATAATGGCCACATGGTGGCGCAGGGGGGAGAGAGTACGGGGGAAAAAAAGCAGCACGAATTGAAATCCTTCTCAGTTCTTCCTCAGACATTGCTCACAGCGATCATAGACGCATTTCTACAT